CGCTCCTGATTTTCGGGCGGACGGGCATTGCCACGCATGCCGCCTTCTGTTTTTTTGTGCCACGGATGTTACTCTGTGCTCGAAGTATTGCCTGCCTTTTGTTGTGAACGTGTCAGACAGGTTCCTCCTCCTCCTCCTCCTCCTCCTGCTCCTCCTCCTCCTCTTCTTCCTCCTCCTCCTCCTCCTCCGCCCTCCTCCTCCTCCGTTTCCTCCAAATTCCTCCTCATCCCTCCTCCTCCTCCTCCTCCTCCTCCTCCTTCTCATCCCTCCTCCTGCTCCTCCTCCTCCTCCTCCTCCTCTTCTTCCTCCTGCTCCTCCTCGTTCTCCTCCTCCTCACGCCGCCCGCAGCACTCCTCCTCCTCCTCCTCCTACATCCTCATCCTCATCCTCCTCCTCTCCTCACCTCCTCCCCATCCCCCTCCTCCTCCTCCTCCTCCTCCTCCTCCTCCACCTCCACCGCCTCCTCCTCCTCCTCATCCGCCTCCGCCTCCGCCTCCTCCTCCTCCTCCTCCTCTTCGTATTCTTCTTCGTATTCTTATTATTATTATTCGTCTTCTTCTTCTTACTACTATTATTATTCTTATTATTATTAGTATTCTTCTTCTTCTTATTATTATTAGTATTAGTATTATTACTATTAGTATTATTAGCATTATCATTATTAGCATTCTTATTATCATTAATATTCTTATTATTCTTAGTATTCTTATTGTTAGTATTAGTATTATTATTATTATTATTAGTATTATTATTCGTCTTAGTATTATTATTAGTATTATTATTATTACTATTATGATTGTTATTATTATTCTTATTATTAGTATTAGTATTAGTAGTAGTAGCATTCGTCTTATTATAAATATTCTTCATCCTCCTCCTCCTCGTCCTCCTCCGTCCTCCTCCTCCTCCTCATCATCATCCTCCTCCTTCTTCTTCTTCTTCTCCTTCTTCCTCCTCCTCCTCCTCCTCCTCCTCCTCCTCCTCCTCCCCCTCCCCTCCTCCCTGTCCTCCCTGTCCTCCCTCTCCTCCCTCTCCTCCCTCTCCTCTCTTTCCTCTCTCCTTCTCCTCCTCCTCCTCCTCCTCCTTCCTCACCCTCCTCCTCCTCCTCTCCGCCTCCTCCTCTCCTGCCCCTCCTGGCTCCCTTCCCCTCCTCCTTCCTCCTCCTCCTCCTCCTCCTGCTCCTCTCCTCCTCTTCCTGCCCTTTCCCACTTCATTCCTCTTTCTTTTCTCCTCACCATTTCCTCCTCCCCCCTCCTCCTCCTCCTCCTCATCCTCCTCCTCCTCCACCCTTCCCCTCCTCCTCCTCCTCATCCTCCTCCTCCTCCTCCTCCTCCTCCTCCGCCTCTCTCCTTCTCCTCCTCTTCACTCCTCCTCCTCCTTCTCCTCCACCTCCTCTCCTCCACCTGCTCCTCTTCCTCCTCCATCCGCCTCCACCTCCTCCCCCTCCTCCTCCTCCTCCTCCCCCATTATGGTTCTCGCCTCAGCTCCGCGCGCGTTCGTCTGAACATCTCGAAGCAGCTTCGCGGATGGAAAGCAACTCGCCTTCAGAATGCAGCTCCGGCCTTAGCGTAGCGCACATTCGTCGCAAACGTGTTCAACAGCTTCAGGGATGGAGGGCGGTTCCTTTTCAAACTGTGATTCTCGGGCTAGCGCCGCGCACGGTCGTCTTAAAAGCGTGCGACAGTTTCAAAGGACCGTGTGGTTGAAGTCCTCAGCATGCTGCTCTGGCGCGATGTAGGACTGTCAGGACGCAACAGTCGCCTTGATCCGCGACGTTGAAGTCCCCAGTATGGTCTTTTGGCACGATTGAAGATTTTACGGCTGTCTCACAATGGGCCCCATCCCCCTCGTGATGCATTATTGTAGGGATCTGTGATGAGAGAACTTGGAAGGACGGTGTATTGTAGCATCGTCATTGCGCCCTGGGTTTGCACTGATCCGCCTCCTCCTCCTTGTCCTCGTCCTCGTCATCCCTCATTCCCTCCCTCCCTCCACCTTCAACTCCTTCTCCTCGTCGTCCTACTCGACCTCCTCCCGTTCGTCCTCTTCGCCGTCGTCTCGGCGTCATCGTCCTGGTCCTGTTCCTGCTTTTTCATCGTCCTGGTTCCTTTCCTGCTTCTCCTCCTCCTTCTCCTCCTCCTCCTTATCCTTCCGTCGCCATGTTGGCTCAAGATGCTTTTTGCCCGTGGCAAACACTGATACCGCTAGCCCGCGGCCAGCGATCGATCTGTTCAGTGAGCTCCTGCTGGGGCGGTTGCTCAGGGGTCCAGTCCCAGAACAGACCTCGACGAGACGCCATGGTGCCAGCGTCATGGGAAACACCCAGATTGGATGTGTAAGCTCTGGGTGCACAAAAAAGCTGGTCTACCTCTTGCCAATTCGAGTACGAATGATCGGTGCTCCAGACGCAAGGCTCACAAGTCGGCCAGCTTCAATTGCGTGCGCCCAGCATCCTCTCCATCGACCAACAGCAGCCAGCGCAGCATGAAGGACCCGAATGAGTTTCTCACCACCATCATCAAGCTCGAGCGCCGTCTGGTGGAGCCCGAGAAAGAAAACGCTTTCCTCAAGAAAGATAAGCACGGTGCTGGGAACATGTAGGTGAAGGGGTCCTCAGGAAACGAACCTGAGCTTCGGGAAGAGATCGATGCTCTGGCTTAACATGTTCAGTGGCTGGAGTCTGTCAAAGGAGAATGGGCAAGGCCGCACTTGCTGGCAGCTCAAACTCAAGTCGAGGCTGCTCGGAACAAACTGCATGATAACAAGCCCCTGGGAGCGAAATTTAATGTTCTGCCGCGCCTGACAGAGCAGCTGTACAGGCTGCTATGGAGGCGGCCAATAGAGCGTAGCGCGTTGGCACAGGCGAAGGCAATCATCGAAGAGAGGAGGCATGCCTACGAGAAGTTGGAAGCAGAGTTGGAAGACCTCTCTCACAGAAGGTGCCAGGTCATCTGAGCTTGTCTTCGACGAAGCGAAGCTCGCGAAGGTGCTCTCAGACATGGATGGGTAGTGGTGATGCAGAGAAAGCGGCACTCCCCGACTGGTGGCTGCCTTACGCGAGCGAGGAAGTGACCTCCTTGCGGAACCGCCAAAGACATGCCGACGCCAAGTTTCACAGGGGCCTGCTAAAGCGGAGCTCTCAACACTTCGTGGGCAAGTCAAGGGGTGCGTGGAGGAAGCGGCAGAAAAGGGCTATCGTGCGGGCTCGCGCTCGCTCGTTGGCTGCTGGTGGCTTTCTTCCCTGTGGATTGCCCCCCTGCTGCTCGCGCGGCAGATCAGGGAGGCGCCGACCGATCTACACGTGCAATCACAAGCAGCTCAAGGTTACACGTGGAGGATCTGATTTCCCTGACCATTCTGAGCTAAGGCTTTCAGAATACCTTGGGAGTGGGGATTCGACAACGGTACCAGGCAGTTTATTGGACCGGTCCTCGGACATCAGTTGGGAGGCCAAGTCCAAAATGAAGCTGATCGACTAGCCCAAGTGGGCTGCGGATTCGCAGCCAGTGAATACCGTGCCAATTGGTCGCCTCTCTCTCTCTCATTCTCTCGCTTGTGCCTTACAACAGCATTGTCTGGAGTACTATGCGGAGTTTTTGAAGTGGCTTGCTTTGGACCAGCGGGATCAGCCCGACGTGGTCTTTGGCCAGGAGCACAAACTGCGCGATGGCGACCAGCCCAAGTCAGCTCAGAGTTGGGCGCGCGAGCGCGGCTACAAACGCCTGGGAAATGCGCGTGCGGTGACGTCCAGTGGCGCGGGTATTCTGACCGTGTCCAACGTTGCTTGCGTCGGGCGCGAGCCTCAGATCGAGTTCGAAAGGGCCAGGCTGTACTTCCAGCGCACGGCGCTGGGAGGGATGCAGGTCATGCTCGCCCCGATCTACGCCACATGCAGTGTGGGAGTTGCAGGGGGCGCAGAGTTGCCAGCGTCGCTGCTCGAGATTCTTCGGGCTGCATGTCCCCCATTTAGCATAGCAGGATATTGGAGTCATGAGGCTGAGAGCTTCGGCAGAAGCACGTTTCTCAGAGCAGGTTTCTGGGCTATTTTGCACGCGGATGTCGTGCGCCACGGCAGGCCACCTTGCAACGATGCGCACTATGACTTGTTCTGTGCTCAGCGACGTTTTGCTTCGGTTTGTGAAGAGCGCCTCGGCGCTGGGAGCCGGCCCCGCTGGGCCCCGCAGGGCCGCCCAGTTTGTCGTCGGAGGGCTCGGGGGCCTGAACTTTATATATCGGCGGGTCAACCCCGAAGTCTCTGATCTGCCTCAGTCGGGGCAGGCGCTCGCGCGGGCAGATGTCCCGGACTGGCCAGGCTTCGAAGCGAACGACGGAGGGCCGGCGGGCAGTCCGGCGCGCGGCTGGCCGACAGGCAGAGATGCGGCGGTCGCGAGTCTGGTTGCCATCTTGAAGAAAAGCGCCCCTAACATTTTTGGCCTGCGGGTCGAGAGCGAGCCTCTTCCGGTTTTAAGCTTGGCGGGCGAAGATCCGGAGAGCGAGCGGTGTGGCGGGGGCGCCCCTAACATGCGAATGGGGAAAGAGCCTTCGTAGGATGGCCAGCCCTGCGATCCAGAAGTGGTCAAGTATCAGGCGCCCCACCGCGCAGTGGCTCCGCGCGTCAGACTCCACCAGCTTCGCCCAGCAAGAACCGAAGGCCAGCGCCGAGCGTCGGCTCAGGGAGTCGGCGGATGCTTGGGAAGCTGGCGGGGGGAACGGCTCGGACACTGTCGGTTTCGACTCAAGTGACTGCGAGCACTTTTTGCATCAGCTCGCTGGCGAGGCACACTCTAAGGCGCTGTCGCACACGGCTGCCGCCGCCGCCAGAGCCACTTGGGAAGATCTCTCGGAGCTTGCGTTTCAGAACGGCGCAGGTTTAGCGCGCCGCTTCTTCAAGGGGCCTTGGGGCGTGGAACCTGGGGGCCAGGGTGCTAGTGGGCCCCCAGTCGTAGGGCGCAACGCACTCCAGACGATGCCAGGTGGATGGGTGAGCCTGCGGACGGTTCCTGAGCGCGACTGTGAAGCTCACCCATCCACCTGCGCTGTCGATGAGTTGCCGCGGCTTCCGAGGATGGAGGCTCAGCGTGTGAGTGCAGTGCTGCGCACTTTCAAAGCCGAGGCAGCGCTCGGGCGGGGCCGATTCCACCCGCGCTGGATCGACCGCTTGCCAGTGGAGCTGCTCGAGTCTCTCACTGTCCTGTTGCAGCGCCGGGGAGGACACCCAGCGGGCGCGCAACTGATCCTGGCGCTCCTAGCGTTTCTCGCGAAGCCCCACGGAGGAGCGCGCCCCATTTGGGCCCCCCCCCCTGTTCGGTAGAGTCGGGTCTCGTTCGAGGCGCGAGGAGGTGGCCAAGTGGGAGGCCACCCGCGGGGGCAACTTCTTCAGGGGCTCCTCGCCCGAAACTTCGCGCGGCAAATCGGCGCGGGCTCGCGCTGCATCGGCGAGCGCAACGACTACTTGCAAGCTTATTAGTGCTGGTGCCATTGCTGATCTTTGGGAAGTCGTATGGCGTGATTCGCCGTGAGGAACTTTTGTGTGCTGCCAGGGGCACTGGTTGTCCGATTCGGCTTTTGGGGCCGCTTTGCTGTCTGCACGGAGGGCCCAGAAGGGCCGCGTGCCATCGTTCCACGTCGACAGAATTGCGCGCAAACGGGTCGGTCATTGCAGGGTGCTCGTGCGCCGCGGGCTTGACCAAACTAATGACGGTCGCGACGCCGAGGCACATGGGCACCAGATGCCCCGCGGTGAGGATCAATCACCTCATCGATGACATCAGCCCCCGCTCGATCGGAGGCGAGCAGGTTGCGACCAAGGAAATGACATTCGCCCTGCAGCACCTACTTGTGGGCCTCGCGAAGAAGGGCTTCCTGATATCCTGGGGCGAAATGGGCTTGCTCGCCAAGGGCAAAAAGCTTTTGACTGTTTTCGAAATTGCCGCGGACCTCCTGGATTTCTGGCCCGACCATGTCCCGTTCCTGAGACATGAGCAGCCTCGGCCGGGGACGCCGTTGACGGTCGGCATCGGCGCATCGGGGCCCAGAAGAGGGGGCCCAGGAGGCCATGGGGAAAGATGATAGGATTCAAGCCTTGCAGGGCCTAAGGGCGCAACGATCTGCCGTGCATCGTGCGGGCGTGCTCGCAAAGAGTCCCTGGGGCTGCAGTATTGCGGGGGTCTCAAATGGTCGGAAGACAGCTTAGAATGTCCTTCCTGAATGCCGCAGGCATGTTCAAACCAGTGGCTCACGCTGGCCTCGCCCTGCAAGTCTCAGAGAGTGGGCGGCGATCGGGCCCGCTCGCGATTGCGACGGCTGGTGCGATGCAGACCTTCGCTGCGATACTGGCTGCTCGGCCGCCGCTGCAGGACAACCACGCATGGAACAAAGTCAGGAACCCAGTTGCAGCTCTGTCAGCATCTTTGCACGGGATTGGACGGTCACTTAGCTGCGCGGAGAAGGTCAGAGATGACGAAGGCAGAAGCCGGAGCACATCATATTAATCTGCAGAGTTTGTTTCAGACATGGCCAAGAAAGGAGCGCAGAGACACATCAGTCGGCATGCGCTCCGAACACTACATGGGGGAGAAGAAGGCCCCAGACTCGGAGACAGATCGTGGGGACCTCTACGAGCAGCCATGAAAACAGAGAGGCTCTCCCCAGACGATAGGAGATAATTGAGAGGCCTCTGTTCAGCATGGCATTGGTGCCAGGCGAGGGTTGCTCGAGAATTTCCTGACCAGAATCACCTTTGCACCAGATGCGGAACTGCTCCTGGAACATTGTTTCACAGGTTCTTCTGCTGCGACGCATATGCTGGACAAAAGCAGACGTTGATCCCAGACCTTGTACGG